TAATTTTTGATTTCTTGTAGAGATGAGGTCTCACCAAGTTGCCCAGGCAGGTCTCGAACCCACGGGCTCAGGCAATCCACTCACCTCAGCCTCCCGAAGGCGCAGGATTACAGGCTGAGCCACTGAGCCCGGCTTCTTCCCACTTTTTAGCTGGAGACAGACACACTTTTCTTTAAACATACACACTCATCATTTTTCTCCGGGTTTCTGAACCTTTCAACTTATAATTCATGTGTTTACTCCAGAAATTTTACCCTTTTACAATGAAACACACCCAATAAGTTTTAAAAGTGAGTGATGTGTTGGGACCTTTCCCCCACAGGAGATGCTAACAGTGCAGTGGCTCTGTAAATAGAAACCCAGACCTCCTCTGCAGTGGCCGCTGCCCAGGGTGTGGCCACACTCTGCGCCTGCACAGGAGATCAATTCATACCTGCAAAACTGGAAAAATCGCAGCTGACAGCAACCATGGAAGCAGCGAGGGCCAAGAGTGCAATGTAAATGAGACAGATTTTCTACTAGGTGAGTCACAGGAAACCCGCCTGCCACAGTCTGGAGGCCCAGCTCACCCATCAGGAATGTAGGTCAAACTCCCCAGGTGAAGGGCTAGAGCTCAAGTGCCGAGGCAGAAGCCAGAGTTCCTAGGAGAGCAGGGAGGCTGGCCAGGACACAACCCAGCAACCCCTCTACTCGCCCTTGGGCACCAGCCCAGGCCTGTCATCCAACTAAGCCCCAGTTTCCATAGACCTGTGGTGAACTCAAGCCATGAGTGCCAGACAAGCTCTCCCTTATGTGCTGGACAAGTTGGGTTTATGTAGTAAGGGACGGTTTGCTCACCTAGCTCAGTCGACACGGGGGACCCGGTGGCAATCTCACCAATCTTGGCCACTCCATCGTAGTAGGCTTTTCCTGCCAGGATCATAGCTAGACACGGAAGGTGACATAAAAACTGTCACTTAGACAAGGGAAGGCGGAAGTGACACAGGTTTTCTTCCAAATACCCCTCAAACCCTTTCGGCGGCAGGAAGGCTCAGGCCGAGGCAGGTGTGCCTCTCAGAAGGCAGGGCTTGTGTTGAGAATTGTGCTGGGGTAGAGGCCCCCACTCATGGGAGAGCCCCATAGTAGCCTCACCTTGGACCAGTCTAAGGGAACCTTCAGCATCTGGTGTTGGAAGTCCAGAAAAGGCCCTGCCTGCTCCTGACACCAGCTCCAGAGTGGATGTGTTCCTGACATGGAAGTAGGACTAGAACACATCCTCTCCAGCAAAAAGTCTTTTCCTAAGTATTTATCTCATAGTACTCCAGGCCTGGAACATTTTAGTTAGAGAACTTGTGTGAGGTGGCCTAGGAACTGCTTCTTTGATTGTTTACTTTTTCTACTGAAAAAGACATTCTGTATCACAAACAACAAATGTATTTATTGCCAGGGGAAAATCTACAAAATGTGAAATATATTGGCATTCCAAAGTCTCTCCTTTTTTTTCTTTTTTGAGTGCTCTACTTAATTTTTTGACAAAGATGGGAAATTTTTATTGCTATACAAGTTGGGTTCTAATTATCTTAAAAATATTTCCCCCTTCAAATGGATTCTGAAATTTAAATTTTAACTACGGTTGACCTCCTTGGGAAAATTCATATGCTTTCTGAGACACAGGCTACTCATCTATAAAATGCCCTAACAGTGTAAACACTGAATGGACAAACGGTAGCTGCTGATATCAACTGCTTCTCCCCCTTTGTAGGCCAGGTATGAGGGGTTTGAAGGTGTATAACAATTGTGCAAACTTTTCAAAAGACCTGGTCTGTAGAGTGGGATTTTGAGGAAAAGGACTTATTTTACTTAAAGATAAGTTCCTTATGTAGAAATTAGTTTCTCCTGGAGCCTCGGAGACCACAGGATTTTGGAGCTAAAAGAGCCCCTAAGAATTCCCTTGTCCAGCCACTTCCTTTCACCAACAGGAAACCAAAGGCCATGCTAGCTGCTCTGCCCCAATGTCTAATGGGAATCATCTTTACAAAGTAGATTTTGAGAGGCAAAAATTTAAAAAAGGGGGGCGGGGAACACAGAATGAACTCATGTACAGATCCAGCTGAAGGTATAAGAAGTCAAAAAAGTAGTATTTTTCTGACCAATTAATCTATTTTAGCATTTATTGCAGTTTAAAAAAATTATAAAAGTAGGGCTCTTACTATTATATATATGTGTACAGGTTTAGAAAATGTAATGCTCTCCTATACTATTCTTTTATAAGATTAGGAATAAACTTAGAGTTTAATTATAAAAAGAACAACAATTAGCATTTATATAGACTTTTCAAGTCATTACTTTGTTAATCTACCCAACAGTGTTAAGACATTATTGGCTGTTCACTAAGGGGAGTGAATGCAGATATGTGGGACATGCCCAAGGTCAATGGTGAGTCAGCAGCCATGCACACAACTCCAGCCAGGGCACTTCAGTTTCTCAGTTCTAAATTATGGTGCTTTTTGACTCTTTGGTCTCAGCTAGAACTGAAGAAAAGATGACTCCACCTAAAAGCAAGAAGTGTAGCCAGTAAACAGTCAAGTTAATATATGTAGCATCTTAGTATGAAGATTTTAAATGGTAAAGTACTGATAAGCTGAAAAGCAAATTAGTGGGAGAATGGCATGCAGGATTACACAATATTTAAACAAAATGTTTGGTTCACATCCACATATTAAATTGCAGCTTTTCATTAACTCTTGATTTACATTTGATACCATGTAACTTTCTCAGTCTTGTAAAATATCTTTGTGATTATGATAAAATTTAATTAACTTAAAAATTGGCTGGGCGTGGTGGCTCACGTCTATAATCCCAGCACTTTGGAAGGCCGAGATGAGAGGATTGCCTGAGCCCATGGGTTCGAGACCAGCCTGGGCAACATGGCAAGACCTCACTCTACAATAAATCAAAAAATTAGCCAGGAATGGTAGCATGTGCCTATAGTTCCAGCTACTTAGAAGGCTGAGGCAGAAGGATCACCTGAGCCCATAAGGTCAAGGCTGCTATAGCTGTGAACATGCCACTACACTCCAGCCTGAGCAACAGAGTGAAGACTCCAACTCAAAAAAAAAAAAAGATGTTTCTACTTGATGCTTATTGTTTTAAGGAATGAAGCATATTAGTTCTATTTTAGTAGTTAACCAACTACATCAATCTACATCAATCTACATCAATCTACATATCTCTACCTGATAATTTTTCCTTAAAATACAATTTCACTGAGTTACTGTTCTGCTCAAAAGCCTTCGATGACCTCTCACGGCCCATACCCCATACACCCGAGTCCATGGCAGATTTTATGATAAGGGTCATCCAGGAATCACACCTCCCAGAATTTCCAGGCTGTGTGGTGCCCTCCAACACTGATGAGCGACATGGCCATGTGACTTACTTTGGGCAAAGAGATGTCAGCAAGCATGACTCCCACAGGGGCTTGACAGGTGCTGGGCATTGGGACTTGTACTTTTTGGACATCACTGCTATCAAATGAGGACCCAGTCTAGCCTCCTCGAAGGGAAAGACTCCATGGGGAAAGAGCTCCATGCCTGGTGCAGGTCCCAGCTGACTACAGATGCAGGAGTGAGTCCCAGGTAAACTGCTTGCCTTTATGTGAGTAATAATAAGCTATTGTTGTCTTAAACTACCAAGTTTAGGACAGTCTGTTGTGCAGCAAGAGATGATTGACTCTGCATTCTAATGCACACATGATCTGACCCTATCCCACCTACTCCCCAGTAGCACCTCATCATGCCAGTGAGACCCCAGGTCCTAGTTTGGCTGCTGTCTTTCCTGCCTGAGGCAGTGTCTGTCTGCTGAAACCCAACATGTCAGCTAGCTCTCCTTCTGCAAGGTCTCCTGACTGCTCTAGTCCACATTGACCCCTACTGCTCAAATTTCTGACACCAGTCTATACAATGCTCTAAGCTATTCACATAAGGCCCTGCATTCTAGCCTCACTGCTGACCGCATATCTGGCAGCCTCAACTATACATCAAATTCTTACCAAGGACTTTATTAAAATTATCTAACTTTTTCATATCTTTAGGCAAAAGCACAACCATGTGGTCTGCAGAAATTCTGGGACTACTTTATGAAGTATAGAATACTCCCCAGGAGGTATTAAAGTGGTAAGAGCTGGGCAACCCCCTTAGGTCACCTCCCACTGTGGGAGCTTTTCTGTCCTCTTAATAAATCCTGCTTTCTAAAAAAATAAAATAAAATAAAAGTGGTTAAGAGCCCTTTGGGGAGAGGTCTAGTCAGCAGGAAGCTAAGCTGTGGGCAGTTCCCTGACTCACCTTGTAAAACTCTGCCTCTTGAGAGGCAGCTCATGCTAGAAAGAAAAAAACAAAACAAAACACCACTACAGTTCACAGTGATTTCCTTCACAAGGACGTCTAAAGCAATGACTTTGTGACCTTGTGACCAAACAATCACTGAGGGAGAGTCAGCAGTACAAGGTCTGGCTCTCTGGAGGAGGAGGTGTGCCCATGGAGTCACTGATACTGCTAGAAGGGTGGGGGACAAACCCCAGACCTGCCTCCTGACACTAGAAGCCCCAAAAGCACAGGGGCGCATAAGACAGTAAATAAGTGTACTTTTCCAGTGACTACTACGATAGTGCTCCTCCTTCTCAAGTCCAAAGTCTAGCCAGCATACCTCCCTTCTTGGTGCATACATGCTCATGTTGAGGGTGTGTGAGGCCACAGGTATATTTTCAAAATATTAACAGGGAGCAGCCAAAGGTGGAGTATGGTGAAAGAGAAATAAGAGATACGGGAAATACACATAGCTTGATCTGAAAGCTCCTTCAAATCTAAAATGGTAGGAAGCTAAATTTTCTACTTATGTAGTGGGTGGTCTTAGTGAACCAGGGTAGAAGGTGAAACTGAGGTCTGAATATTTTGGAAGTAACACTTGCTATACAGGGAGAATTGTCTTAACCACGTTAGAATTTGGTGATTGCTGATATTTTAAGTTTTAAACCTCTCAGTAGAAAAATATATATCAGCTTCCTCAATGGCAACCTCTTCAAACTAGCAACAATGCTGGTTCAAAAGAGGCAAATATCAATACCCACATTTATTTTAAATGAAGTTTTTGTTTTAAAATGAGAATCTAAGTCCAACTTTTATTATTAATTATTATGTTTTGCTTTTTTTTTTGAGTTGGTGTCTTACTCTGTTGCCCAAGCTGGAGTGCAGTGGCATGATCATGGTTCACTGCATCCTTGACCTCCTAGGCTCAAGTGATTCTTCCACCTTAGCTTCCCAAGTAACTTGACAACAGATGCCACCATGCCTAGCTAATTTAAAAAAAACTTTTTGTAGAGATGAGGTCTTGCTATGTTGCCCAGGCTAGTCGCCAACTCCTGGGTTCAAGCAATTTTCCTACCTTGGCCTCCCAAACTGCTGGGATTACAGGTGTGAGCCACCATGCCTGGCTGCAACCCTTTATATGTTTTGCCATTTAGGTTAAAAATATTATCTTTCATATTGCTATGAAAAGTGATAAATAAAAAAAAAGACTGTAAAAAGTGATATATCTAAAGATAAGAAATTCTGCTATATAAACAAAAGAATAATTCCTATGTGGCAAGACATTAGCATATACACATTTTAAGCACACACTTTATATCTGTTATTAGTTTACAAAGAATTTGGTTTAAAAAGTAGAAAACATGGTTTGAGGGTTAGAATGCATCACTTACAGTAGCCTCACTATCATTCAATTAGCTCATATCAAATACACTAATATCACTGTACGCTGTCACTGCAAAGTTCTATAGATTAAATTAATTGAAAATAATTTCAACCATTTAAAGATATTTTAAAACTCAATATTAAGTTTAAAATATTTACTGAATGGCTTTCATGTGTGCCTTATATTCATCAATTTAGAAAAACAGACTTACCATTAACGGCTTTTTCATAATTTTTTCCTAGGTTTATTAAATTTCGTAGCCCAGGATTGAACTGTTCCATAACATTCTGAAAAACAAATAAACAAAATGCAAATTAATAAAATAAACAGCAGACCAAGTAAGTAATCTTTAGATTTTGTCACTGTGTGGCCTAGGATGCCTAAGTGTGCTTAACAGTATAGTCCACAAAGGAATGAATACTGATTTAAAAATCATGAAGAAGACATATTTCTTTACCTGGTAGAACAGGAGTGTTCACACATGGCACGGTGTAGGTAATTCTTCTAGTTCTCAGTTGCCCAAGGAGCTTCCTAGAACCTACTATAAATGGAGCAAGCAGCAGACATTCATGTCTCTACCATACCCGCAGGGACAGTAGGCGGGGAGGCTAACTCACCCTCTTGGGTTTAAGTAGATTGTTAATGGTTGTCATTCTAGTGTAAAGAAACAGGTGTGCATGATCAGCTACCTGAACTTAATTATAAGTGCAACATTTTGGCTATCAAGCCAATAGAAATTTCCAAGAGATTTTGTTTTTACTTTCCTTAATTACTGGGGGGGGAGGGAGCATGTGGGGGTGGATACTATGAAGGGCCATAGAACACCCTGCCTGGAACCTTCTTTCTAAGGGGTTCTCTAAGTACCTGTGGAGTAACTACCACGGGCCAGGCCCTGAACACACAGCTAAGGTGAAAAGACATGTTCCCCGTTCATGGATTTCATGATGCAATCAGTATTCATGGCTTTCATTTTAAAACGTGTCATTCCTATATCATTAGAAAGTCATAAAGACAAATGTTATGACAAGTATAAGATGTGTGATTCTTTAGAATGTTGGTCTAAATTTAAAATCACCCTAAATCTGAAGTACAGACAACAAAGCATTCTTATGGTGCTCTGACTTCAAGACTCAGAATGCATGGCGACTGTGTGTACTTGTCCATCTACAAACAATGGGCTTCATGATGTTAATTATTCCAAATCAATCATTCACATCTCATTGCCCCCTCTCCCCAAATGCACATTTGTTTATAGATGACCAGATGAGAAAAAGAATAAGAAATGATCCCACATTCTATAGGCCAGAAACTTTACACCTGTGCTCTTCAGAATAAAGTTTCTCCATTATGAATTAAGAGTGCGAGAACATGACAACTTTAAACAGTGATAAAGGCTGATGATGAATGACAATCCTTGCTTCAGTCTTTCCACACTCAGGTCTTACTCCAAAGAGTAAGTACTTCCAACTAAGCTGTTACTCTTGCATTTATTGCCATAGATTTTAATATTCTTGATTCCTCAATTTTGGACAATAATTCCCGGCTTTCTAACACAGTAGATGAGGACTTCACTCTCCACACCATCCACTTTCCCTTTCCAATCCCTTCTGTATAATTAAATGGCATTAACAAATTTTTTTTTTGAGTTGGAGTCTCATTCTATTGCCCGCGTGCAGTGGCATAATCACAGCTCACTGCGCCCTCGATCTCCTAGGCTCAAGTGATTCTTCCACCTTAGCCTCCCAAGTATCTGTGACCACATATGCCACCATGCCTAGCTAATTTTTAAAAAAAATTTTTTGTAGAGATGAGGTCTTGCTATGTTGCCCAGGCTAGTTGTCAACTCCTGGGTTCAAGCAATCCTCCTGCCTTGGCCCCCCAAACTGTTAGGGTTACAGGTGTGAGCCACCAAGCCTGGCTGTAACCTCGACCTGCTGGGCTCAGGAGATCCTTCTGCCTCAGTCTTCCTAGGAGCTGGAAACACAGGCGCACACCACCACACCCGGCTAATTTTTTGATTTATTATAGAAACAAAGTCTCGCCAAGTTGCCCGGGCTGATCTCAACCCCCTGGGCTCAGGCAGTCCTCTTGACTCTGCCTCCCAAAGAGCTGGGATTACGGATGTGAGCGACTGTGCCAAGCTTCAGTGGCAATAATTCTGATGAATCAGTAGTCAGTTCTTATTATGACTTTGTAAATGTTGGTAACGATAACGCAAGAAATGCACCAAGGGTTACATGCCCTTTCTTGGTAAAGTCACTTTGTTTATTTCCTGAGGTTAATTGTCTCATTCTTCCCCCTTGCTTGTTTTCTTTTTTCTTTCTTTCTTTTTTTTTTGAGTTGGAATCTCACTCTGTTGCCCAGGCTGGAGTGCAGTGGTGCGATCACAGCCACCACCGTCTCAACCTACTGGGCTCAGGCGATCCTTCTGCTTCAGTCTTCCAAGTAGCTGGAACTACAGGCATGTGCCATCATGCCCGGCTAATGTTTTGATTTATTATAGAGATGAGGGCTCAGCAAGTTGTCCAGGCTGGTCTCGAACCCATGGGCTAAGGCAATCCTCTCATCTCGGCCTCCCAAAGTGCTGGGATTATAAGCATGAGCCACTGCACCAGCCTTTGCTTAATTTTCTATGTATCTACCTTAAATTTTTCCACTTGCATTATCAAAGCTAGCAGAGTTCTATCAACATCACTTTTCAAATGTACATAATTGCAAGCTAATCTTGCATTCCATTTTTTCCCCTATAACTCCTCCAAGGACTCTCTGTCCTCTTGCTTAGTCTGTCCTGACTGTCCCTGCCACACTGTTACCCTGACATGGCCCTTTCTAGTGGCCTGTGTCACAGTTCTCCTTAGCTGGATCCATATCGTCCTCTTTCCTCCTTCCGTTCTTTTTCCTGGAGATCATTCTCCAAAAAGTGATCTAAGAAATGGTGCACATGAGGTAAATGAGTCCCCATTCATCTGAAATTACCTTTACCTTGGCATTTGCTTGCTATTTTGCTAAGTAGAGCATAATAGATTGAAATGATTTTCCTTAGAATGTTAAAGATACTGCTCCACTGTTTTTAGCATCCAGTTCTGCTGTTGACAAGTCAGCTGTCACATTCCTTTGAATGTGACTTTTTAAAAAAGTTTATTTCTAGCCGGGCTGTGTGGCTCAGCCTGTAATCCTGTGCTTTGGGAGGCTGAGGTGAGTAGATTGCCTGAGCCCGTGGGTTCGAGACCCGCCTGGGCAGCGAGACCTCATCTCTATAATAATTCAAAAAATCAGCCAGGTATGGTAGCGCATGCCTGTAATTCCGGCTACTTGGAAGGCTGAGGCAGAAGGATCACCGAAGCCCACAGGTCGAGGCTGCGGTGGCAGGGAGCCGCCACTGCACTCCAGTCTGGGTGACAGAGTGAGATCCCAATTAAAAAAAAAAAAAAAGTTTATTTCTGGAAGCCTTCTCTTTATTCCTAGGCTCTGAAACTGACTAATGGTCTGTTCTCATTGTGGGTATTTTTTTTTTCTCATTTATTCTACTGGACACTCAATGGGACCCTATCCATGTAAAAAATTATGTCCTTCAGGTCTGAAAAATGTTCCTATTTTACTTCTTGTCTCATCATCCTTTCTGGAACTCTAATGAGGATTTTACACATCCTGGATTTATTCTCTAATCCTTTTATCTTCTTCCATTTCCCCCTTTCTATATTTTTGTTCTACTATCTCTGACAGATATCTTCAACTTTTTTTTTTGAGTTGGAGTCTCACTCTATCACCCAGACTGGAGGGCAGTGGCACGCTCCCTCCTGGTCACTGCAGCCTTGACCTGCTGGGCTCCGGCGATCCTTCCGCCTCAGTCTTCCAAGTGGCTGGAACTACAGATGTGCACTACCATGCCCGGCTAATTTTTTTGATTTATTGTAGAGATGGTCTCACCAAGTTGCCCAGGTGGGTCTTGAACCAGCGGGTTCAGGCAATTCACTCACCTCGGCCTCCCAAGGCGCAAGATTACAGGCTGAGCCACGGAGCCCAGCTATGCTCAACTTTATAGTCCAATTCTTCTTCTATTTTTGAGACAGGGTCTCACTCTGTCACTCAGGCTAGAGTGTAGTGGCATTATCACAGCTCACTGAAGCCTCAACTTGCTGGGTTCAGGCGATCCTCCCACCTCAGTCTCCCAATTAGCTGGGACTATAGATGTACATTACTATGCCAAGATTTTTTTTTTTTTAAATTTTTGTAAAGAGACATGGTATCACTATGTTGCCCAGGCTGGTCTCAAACACCTGGGCTCAAGTAATCCTCTTGTCATGGCCTCCCAAAGTGATAAGACTACAGGTGTGAGCCATCACGCCTGGCCTACTTGTACTATTAAAAAACTTTTGATATCATATTTTTATTATTTTTTTTGAGTTGGAGTCTCACTCTGTCACCCAGACTGGAGTGCAGTGGCCGTTCTCGGCCACTGCAGCCTCGACCTGCTGCGCTCCGGCGATCCTTCCGCCTCAAGCTTCTGAGTAGCTGGAACTACACGTGTGCGCTACCACGCCCAGCTAATTTTCTGATTTTATTGTAGAGATGAGGGCTTGCCAAGTTGCCTGGGCGGGTCTCAAACCTGCAGGCTCAGGCAATCCACTCACCTCAGCCTCCCAAAGTGCTGGGATTACAGGCTGAGCCACCGAGCCCGGCTGATATCATATTTTTAATTTCTAAGAGCATGTTCAAGTTTCTTGATTGCTTCTTTTTAAAAGCACCCTCCTGTTTTTCTTTTATGGATGCAATATCTTCTCTTGTTTGAATAAATCAATTGTCATTTTCTGTGTGCTTTATTCCAGTTCCCATATTAATTCCTGAGTGGTTCTCATTATTTGCTACCCTCCATCTTTCATGTTAGAGACTTCCTCAAACGTCTGGGAATCCTTGATGGTCAGTTCATATTTAGGGGTAAAACCCCTTCAGTGCTGGCTGGAAGCTGTGTGGTTGTCCAGGGGGGCTTCATTCAGTGACTGGCCACATGACAGTAATCAGAGGTTTCTAACTTCCTGTCACTGGGTGGGTGGGGCAATCATCAGGTGGCCCCAGCTTTCCCAGTCAGGAAGATGGCTGGGACTCCACAGTTCAGAGCTGATTTCCACGGAATTTCTCTGTTTTCAGCCTCACGTTTTACCTCCTTGACCCTCGGTTAAGTCCAGAGCTCCTCTGGTTCAACATATTCTAAAATTACATCTCAGTTCTGCCAGGCAGAGGGAGCTGGTGGTTGTGGTCAGGGCAGGAACGAGGGAACCCAGGAGTCCCT